TTACACCTCCAGCCATAACAAAATATACTCTCCTCTGGAATACCTAAGCAGCCAGATGGGACTTTTCTATTAACTGACGTTCCTGAAAGCCTGAGGTCCTAATGTCCTACTTCACCATAGAGGATCCATGGAAAAGGGAGTGAGCTCTCAGAATTATTTTAATGCAGATGCCAGGTAAGATCAGTGCGGGAGCTTTCTCTTTGCAGTGCTATTTTCTTGCTTATCTGTGATGATGTCATCAGCACATGTTTGGATGAGGGCTCTCAGGCGTGCTCAGGAGAGAACACCTTCAGCAGTGTGCTGTGCCCAGTGGGATGGTAGTGCTGCTTGCACTGATGGCTGGCAGCTCAATGAAGCCCTGTGTTTCCCAGAGCAGTAGAGCAGGGGCGACCTTAGCACTCCCGGTACTCTAACTGAGTTTAGATTAAGGCTCTAAGGAAGCAGTCAAAGCTGGAGAAACATTTTACCAAGAGCTTCTTCACAAAGAAAGTAAAAGCCCTGGAATTTCAGTTCAATAGTTTTCATGATATTGGGAAAATATTTAATAGTGAAGTATCAGCACAGAACATCTGAGTCTCAGGAATACTGCCCAAAGAGTGCAAATGCTGCTGCATCAGACCAGCTTGCTGGTCCCCTCAGTCCCAGCTCAGTAAATAGTCAGCTACCTGTTGTCTTGTGTGGGGATGATGCATCTCCACCAATGCACTAAGCCAATTATGCTATTGTGTAGATAAGAGGGAAGTGCTTTCCTCAGTCCTTTTGTGATCTCTGTAGGCTCTCAACCGTGAAATTTTATTACTGTTATTTTAGTAAGAATTGCAAGTATCCTGAAATGATCCAGGCTTTTTAAAATTCCAGTTGCAACATATTCCCCATGGCACAAATCCAACAGGCTTTAAATAAAACGTACAGAGAAGTTTTTCCTCTAGACTCTTTGCAATTTTCCTGCTGTTATTTCTAAGGATAACTTGTCCTTGTACTCTAAAAAAAACGGGATCCCCACAAAGGATCCTAAAATTAACACTGAATTTGAATTGAAGTATTACCCAAGAGAAACATCCTGTTCCCAGTTTTACCATCTGTTTTGTTTCAACAGGATGCACAAAAAAAAGAAAACCATTAAGCAGAGCACATATTTAATATTTCTGATGATATGAGATGTGAAGCTTTACCAAAATATGTCTTCAACAGGCTGCAAGCAGAGAAAGCAGCCTGAAACCTAAAGCCAAGGAAGCTTTACAAATACAGCAAAAATGGTAATAAAATGACAATATAGAAGATGAGATGAAATGCTGTAATTCTCACATTAACATGCAACGTCACATTACACGATCTTAGGAATTGAAGGGTGTAAGATAAGGAGAAAAAAAGCCTCATGCTCTATCGTGCTAGAGAGAAAAGTTGCCTGCAGCAGCTTCTCTGAGCCAGTCTCATATTTAATCCTCGGACGGTTTAACAGCAATGGCAAAGGGTCAGATTGGGAAAGCTGAATCTCTTGGTGCCATGCCAGCCAAAGGGGAGGCAGAAAGTAATTAGCCAATCTTGCCATTTTGCCGGGGCTTGATAGCAAGTAATGTGGTTGGTATGATTTACCACAATCTCAGTGTTGCAAATGGTTCTTCAACTTTTGTAATGCTATTCCATTATTTAAATTTGTGTTGTAAGAAACTGAATTTTTTTCTCATTAGAGCTCATTTGCACTTGAACACATTGCAAAACCAAGAGGAATACAAAGATCTTCAAAGGAGGTGCATTCTTCCACTGCCTAGCACTAAGAGCAGAACCCATTATCCTGAAAGGTATTAAGTATGTAATACTTTAAGCTTATATTAATTACATGGGTGGGACCAAACTTATCAATCAGACACAAATAAAAGGTTCTCTAATACATATGTATGTATTAGCTGGGGTAACCTCACAATGCATGCTCCAAACATATTGTGGCAGAAGTAAACTGAATCAGCAGCCCTGTAAAAAAAAAAAACCATTATGGGAGAACACACTCAAATGATCATCAGTTCTAAGGAAGGTGGTGCTGGTCTCCTCACTGGGGTCTCAAACCTCAGGAAAAGAAATGTTAAGTGGAGCTATTCTCAAACTACCTGTCAAGCCCGCTACCAAAGACTTTTGATTTCAGAAGAATGGAAGTAACCACAGCTTGAATCCATAATGCTTCGAATCCAAATACTGGACTTATTGGAACTAGAGATAATTCAGGGGAAGAGAGGTGATAGGTTAGAAGTTACACACAAGATTCATGGGATAATTTGCAGAAGAACATGATTGTGATCATTCCTGGTCTGAGCATGCTGCTAATGCGCTGGTCTCTGTTTTTCCTTAGAGAAGGAAGAGACTTCTTTTTTAAGGAAGATACTTAGGAATGTCTTTCCAGCAAGAAGAGAGCATTCATTTTTCATGGGAAACAAACAACTTCTACCATTTGCAAGGAATTCTATGAATCACTTCAGCCTGCTCCTACACTTGTGCTGAGCATATCCTAAATAAACAAAGAGCAGTGTAGTTGCTTCTGCAACTGTCTGGAACAAGGGGAAGAGAAAGAAGAGCAGAGAGTATCAGAGGGGAGCATCAATGCAAAGGTGTCTCTGGGACAGTTATTGCTGCAAGTAGCAAAATTGGTAACTGCTTGTTTTCTGTCATCATAAGGGCCTGATTGTTGGCTGTTTGACTTAAGCAAGCATAAGAGGAACAATCAGTAAAACCCTGTACCTGACATTCCTGCAGAATCAACGAACTTACAAACTGAGCTCCAAGCAGCATTCATGTTGCAGGAAATCTCCCACAACAAATCACTTTGGTAGCACTAGCATTTCCTTCTCATTGATTTAGCTGGCTTGTGCTTCAATAGTTCTCCCTATTACCGGAGCTAGGAATTAAAACAAAGGAGAACAACACCTTTTCCCTTGGTTTTGTTTTTTGGAAAAAGACATGAATAACTACATAAGGGAAAGTGCTGCGACTTGTCCTTTAAGACAGGGAGTTCCTGGTGCCAATTCCGTGTGTAATTTTTAACACAGCGAATAACAGGTGGGACAGACTGACTTCCACAGTTTCTTCAAGGTAGGATGGTATAGTCTTACCAACTCAAATCAGACCTCACTGATTTGCAGAGTTGAACAGTTTGCCATTAAAATGGGCAGAAAGAAGAAGAGGAATTGAGAGAATAGTTTCTGCCATGGCAGAGCTGAGCATGACAAGGTCATAAAGGATTTCTTCCCCAATTCACCCGTCCCCTTCTTTGACACCGAGACTAAAAGCAGTTATAGAAAATTCAAACATTTTTCTTCTCTCAGATACATATTATAAATAATTAAGGTACCTAAAGCACTTGATTCCCATGTAAAACTGATCTTGTGATAATGTCTATAGAGAACTCATGCATCACAATTACTGAAGTACGTACATGAATGCATTATTCATGGCCACAAAGTGCGCATACTATCTTACTCTCAAATGACCCTCATTATTTGGGACATTCCTCATTTTAGATTCACATTTATCTCTATCCCACACTGAGGTTGCCATCTGGTCATTTTTTTCTTTACTGACTCAGCCAGTTACTTTTACATAAAGCTCGTTTAAAGCTGAGCACTAACCAATTGTCTTAAATAGCTTCCATAAATAAAAATAAATAAAGTGTCTGTGATTACAAAGGAAAGGAAAATCTGTAGGCCTTTACAGATCCTCTAATAGTGTAAGAACGAAGCCAAGGTTAATATAATCAGTATTTGTTTCTCTAATAAATCTTCCCATTAATTTTTAATATATGTAACAAACAATGCAAAAATACAGTCCAGTGAGAAGCTATATCAAAATGTAGATAAATGCACACATACAAACTTTAACCTGCGCAATACACAAAGGTCAACAAAATCATTAGCAATGAAAATTAGGAATAACAAATGACAAAAAGCTAAATGCAACAAGTTATTTTAGACAATAATGTGAAACAAGCAATACAGCATTTGTACCTCAAAACCACTGACAACAGCATCATCTAGGGAATTGTGCACATGCGAGTAACACACAAAGTATTTCCTTTTATTAGTCCAGATAGCACTCAGTTTATTTTAGCTTTCATACATTTTTTCTTTCAATAGAAAGTCTGTGCATTTACAGCAGCAGGCTGGGCCAACACTATTAGCTATTATTCACTTGACTGAAAGAATCCTTTTGCTCAAACTTCATTTCTGACTGTTTTGGTTGACTTTTTTTTAGGAACTGTCTAGCAATTTGCTGCAGGCAGAACTAGTAAACCAGAACCATGGAAGAAATAGAAACAGTTTGTCAGCCAAGGAACAGTCACAAATAGGAAGAGGGAAGATACAGCGCTCAAAAATTGCTTCTCTCTTTTTTGGTACAAGAGCTCCTTATCATGAGTGAAATCCCACCAAACCCCACTGTGCTTAGCCCTAAGTGCACAGAGGAGTATTTCTATGTTTGACTCTAAATTTTAACCTACCTGCACCACATGCAAGCTGAGATAGAAAACTCTTTAAATTGCCGGTCACACGTTTATTGTATGAGTTGAGAAATGACAATGAATCTACGTGGGAGTTTGCAGCTGAAGTTCTAGAGCTTTAGTGACAGGCACATGTCTCATGGCATCCAATATTTTCTTCCTCCATTGTAGCTGAATGTCCTTTTTAATAGCTATACTTTTCTATTTAAAAATACAACAGGCAATAGACATTTTTTTCCTTGCTACCTGAATACATTCAGTAATTTTTTATCAGTTGAACAGACTATCTGCCAATAAAAAAATTTCCAAACCTGTGTATTTTGACTTTGTTTTTCTTAACGTTTCCATACAGTGTATCAGTGCTGAAATATTTCATTCTTAATGTCAGAAATGTATAAAAACCTTGTTTCAATTACATCTTTTGCCACCACTTTTGCAATATCCTTGCTCCTTCATAGAGGAGATACTTCCTAAATAAGAATGTGAATTCTCCAAGATCATCTATGATCATCAGTCCTACCTGCCAGGTGTTCTGGAACTATATGGGAGAGAAGCAGGGTTTCAACCTCAGCAATTGCTGTTGCAGTTCAGTGCAAGAACCACCATCTGCCAGACAAAAGCCTGAAAATGAAGGAAAAGGAGTAACATAAGCATTAACTACAATTCATGCTGAGAACTGGAACATTATTTGAATCAACAAATTGGAGGTCTTGCTTTTCACTAAAATCCACAAATTTTTGCGAAAGGACGATTTTCCACATGGTTTAATAGTTATTTCTTTTTTGCAGTTGCTCTGCAATTTAAGGCAGGATTCTTGAATGCTCCATCACTGCCTCCTGCAGCATAATTCATCTTTTGTCTCTGCAAACATGAATGAGAATTCTGGTCTCCTTGCTCTCGCATTTGCCCTTCCTATTCACCCCTGCAAGAATACTCAACACTGTTTAGAACTTCAAGTTCAAAATCATTTATTGTTATACAGAATACTATTAAGAGCTTTGACTGGGATTCCTACTTTAGATTTCTCCATTTGATTAACAGAAAATAATCACTCTCCCACTCTCCCTCTCTAGTGATTTGGTTAATTAGCTGATAGAAGCAGCACAAATAATTTCTACATCAGTGTACTTATTGTTTCAAAAATTAAGTGAAAATTAGTCCCTTACTAGATGATTAGGATTTTATATCTGTTAATGAACAACAATAGTCTGCCATTGCCATCTTTTAATTTACTTTTAATCACCAGCTAAGTAACAAAAAAGTGTCTTTTAAAATAATTAAGACTACATATCAGGTCTCTGTAGGATGTCAACAATAAAGGGGTTAATGATGCATTCAGTCATCATGGAAACAATCAAAAAATGTCTTGCTTTATTCAGTCCAAAACAACTCTTACTATCTAAATGCATCTGTGCCAGAAAATTCCCACAAGCTTCACAACATTTTTCTTCTGGTAGCAATCACAAAAAAAAAAATCCCATTCTGTTAATGATGGAAATCACCCATGTAACTAGGCCAAGCATTTAAATTATCTGCGAAAAGAAGCCACTTTTTCTCACTAGACAGAACTGTGTAAGCATCACAGTACGACTTTACTTGTGACAATGTGACACAATAAAAGATGCCTACCCAAACGTAGCACTTGGAGGCATATAATGCAATTTTTTTCCTGTCATATTATTAACACCTTCCTGCACTTACTTCTTTAGATATATTTACAAGTGAAAAGTTGAAGAACAGAAGTCTCTGTGACACTTAAGAACAAGCCTATTTTGGGGTGCAGTAGGGTGATAATTTTGCTTTGAATGTGTTGAGTTTTTACACAGCTGCTTTGTTAGTACATATGACATCTATGTTTTCTGTCACAAAAGTAACCCACCGTAATTCTCACTGAGATCTTAAAGAAAACAGGCATAAAAACATTGTGTGCATGTGTCTGCAGGTGAGTGTGCATAGCTGTGCTTTGACTCAGCCATCGAGTACTGTGCACAAAAGGGAGATTACAGAGAGCTAAAGCTGTTTTGTTGACAAGTGTTAAAAAAAAAAAAAAAAAGTAAAAAATACTCCACTCAAATGTCAAAGCTGTTAAAGTGTGAGAGACTAAAGAATATTCAGAGATGTTCCAGAAGGGAGAGACAGGTATTACACTTAAAATTGACCAAAACATTTATAGTATGTGGAGCAGTACTGCACCAAACAGCGAATGCAGCAATAAGCTCTTTTTAATTCTTGACAAAGAAAGTAAATTGTCCTAAAAATTCTGTATTATGAAGCATCCAACACATGTATTGGCACTCCAGAGAGCTGCTACAATCTAATGCATGTGCTCCCTTTGAAGGCTGTCTTTTCAAGCAGCACATGTTCTGGCCCATGGGACTGCAGTATGTAGAGCACTGTTCGGAGACTAGTAGAGGGCCATCTGTGCTCTGAGTGAAAAGACTTTAGTCAATGTGGGAAAAAAATCCCATATAATTGCTCTCTTCACAGCTCCTATTTTAATTTGGAGAATAATATGTGAAAATAGTGTAGAAATGTGAGCTGGCAATAGCCAAATAGGTAACTTCATCCACATCCCTATTGGTACAAGATGGCTCCCAGCCACACACTTGGGGAAACAGTGGAAGACAGGAATTAGAAAGAGCAAATGCTCTTGCCAGCTAGGTACACCTTGCACATCTACAATTCCAGTTACATTACATCCTGTCTTTCTGCCACAGTTTCTGTCTTCCTTTCCTCTTGTTGCCTTCCCCTCTTCTCAGAGTTTGCGTCTTTAACTGAAGTACCAATTCATCACAGTAATAGGTACCTATGCTTGCCTGTGCCTAAAAAATGTAGACTGACTATGATGCAGGCTCTCCAGAAATTATAATAATAGCAAAAAATGCAGTAATCACACTGACTTGGCCAGTTGAAACTAGTTGTGGATGTCACGTGGTGTGGCATCCAATGTCCATCTGCAGTTGCAGATTGTTCCCTCCATAACCCTCACCTGAATATTAACATCACTGCGCACTTTTGTTTTTTTGCTTTCATCTCATTAATTCTAATTAACACTCTTTTAAACATATTCAGTAATCCCTTGCATTGTTTTGTTATTCCATTCCCTAAAACCTTTAAAATAGCCCATCTGTAATATTGGAGCTTAATTGACTTACATTTTTAGACAGCTAGCTGTAGAGCATCCCAACCTGTAACATGTAAGAGAAAATTTCACCTGTCAGTGACTTGATGTCTCCATTTATATAAACAAATATACAGCCATTTTTCAGTCATGCTGTTTAATACAATCCTCCATTTTTACCAGAAGCTTTCAGCTTTCTCTATATTTTGGAGATACAGAGCTCTGCTTTTTCTTTGTTGCACTCTTATTTCTTCACTGATCATTGTTACTATTGTGAAGTCTATTGTGGTCTTACTATTATTGCCTAATGGTATATGAGACATACATCATAATGATATACTGTCCATCTCACCAAGTGGAAGAGGCTTCCTGGAGAGGTGGCTGATACCCCATGTCTGTCAGTGTTCAAGAGACATTTGAATAATGCCCTCAGTAACATGCCTTAACTTTAGTTAGCAGTGGAGTGGTTGGGCATTTGGAGGAAATGCTCTCTGAAGAGCTTTTCCAACTGAACTATTCTATTCTGTTTTATGCTTTTTGAATAATATCATTGCTGAATGAAGTCTCCTTTTTAAAGAAAAACACTTAGGAATTCCACAAAAATAAAATCCCAAACATCTATGAGGAGTTCCAACAGGCATTCCAGGTGTTAATTTTAAGAACCAGTTTTGAAAATCTTGACTGAGGTGCTTGTTTTGAGAAGATATGCAACTACAAATATGGAAAAATATACATAAAAGTGCTTGAAATTGGAAGTTTTTTTTAACTTTTTAATAAATACTTCATGAATGTAGAGCAAAACTGTACCTAATGGCTAGTTTTCAGGGTAAAGTAGGCAATTCAAAGAGAGTTACAACACTTGTTTCAAAAAAAGACAGCTATTTAAAATGTAATGAAATACACAGGGTTTTGTTTGTCTTTTTCCTCTATGCATACTTCAAAATACAAATATAGTTAAATATAAAATATAGGAAAATAGATTAAAAACAAAATCATAAGACGAAGCATCTGATTCCTTTCAGCTCTGAAACAAACAATTTCAGATTTCATCACGTACAAAAAATGTCGACTTTGCGGCTCCCTACATTTTATTGTCTTGAGATACACAGGGCACAGCTCTGATTATCTTACACTGGAACGTCTGAGGGTTTTTTGTTTTAAATTTTTAATACTAATGAGTATAATTGTATTTATGATCCAATAACTGCACTCAGGAAGACAGTTATTCCAGAGGTAGCCCATGTCTTTGGTGAAAGGAGACATAAATTCAGAAGCAAACTGCCCACCATACACACAGTGGTCCTCTGCCTTTCGTTCTCCTGTAACGATGGCTCATGTGTATTCAGGAGACTTCAAAAGTGTAGCCCAGAAAACTGAGACTCAGAGTGGTCCTTTTATGCCTTTGATATACAAAGCAAATCAGCCTGAACTCATCAGAGACTACTGATGACAGGGGCTGGGCTAATCTTGGAATGATCAAAGCATTCGAAGTCAGTGACATTTGCAAGAAAATTAATGGTTCCTCCATAAAGGTTTTAACCATCCTATAAACAGGATAAATGCAGAAATCCTTAGATGGATGATACCATTAAGTACAGCAAATGTTACCAAAAATAATCACAATGGTGGCTCATTTATTAGGAAACTGTTCTCCACACTCATTTACATTCCACTGAACAGATTGTACAAAAGCGTTTTTTTCTTGAGTCTGGTTAACGTTCTCTGAAATGAGAAATTACACACTGAAAAGAGTACTTTGTGTGTGTCATGTCACAGAATTACAAGGGATCATTATCCAATCTTTGAGACGCAGAATTATTACAGATTTATCAATTGTTTCTACTGATGTAAAAGGCCTGATAATGGCACAACGTGCCTGACTAACAGGAACTACTATAATGAAGTTAAATGCTTTAACTTGTTTAATGATTCTAGTAGCAATTATTACTTATCTGGGACCACAGAAGAAATTGTAAAATACGCTGTTATCCTTGATATGATTGGAGGTTAAAGGGTGAAACTGTAAATTCAAGGTTGGTATTTGCTTTTTAGAAAAGATTTGTTAACGTTGTTAAATATGCTGAAGTCATATTCATTCTGGCAGAAGATAAAGCAACCAATCAAGTTTTTTTTATTAGAGGATCTCTCAGTGCATTTGACTGTGCTCCTTTATTTAATATTAGCTACAAGGTGTGTGAATGATTACGTCCTCCAAGTATGTAAGTTATAACAGTATTTTGCCTTTTACTCTGTAGCCTCAAGAAATTCTCATATCAAAGAAAAATATAGGTGAACAATTGTTCTCAATGTAATTAAGCATGATCTTGACATATGATCAAAAGAGGAAGAAATAATTGAAAAATTACTACATCTAGTAAGTACTGATGTTGCTTTTACTGGGAAAATGTCTTGCTTTCAAATTTGTATGCATGCAATTGTGAAAAGTAGGCTAGAAACACTTGTTACATTACAAGAGTATAAGAAGTATAAATCACTTG